GGTGGAGGTTGCAGTGAGCCGAGATCGCACCATTGCACTCTAGCCTGGGCAGCAAGAGTGAAGCTCCATCTCTAAATAAATAAATAAATAAATAAATAAATAAATAAATAAGTAAATAAAGTAGATTTATTAGAGAAAGTAGGAAAACGTGTAGCAAGGAGGCAATGGGCAAGCCCGCAGAAGAGGAGCTGACTGCAAAGTGACAAAGGCTTGTTGGAGATTTTATAGGCTAGCATTTATGACGACTGTTGAAGAGGGCTTTGTGCAGTACTGATCAGCCAAGGTTGCAGTGAGCCAACCTGCAGGTGTCTGATGATAGCTGAGTGTGGGAATATTGTGAGTTATTTGCACAGGAGGGCTCTGTATCCTGGACCATGAAGAAAGGCAGACTTATAGTAAACCATGAAAATCGGAGACAGGTTGAAGATGCGCACCCATGACATAGCCACAGGAGCTTTTGATGACGTGGCCCAAGGTGGTCAGAGCACAGTTTGGTTTTATACTTTGTTTTTGTTGTTGTTGTTATTGTTGTTTTTGGAGACAGAGTCTCGCGCTTGTTGCTCTATTCACCTAGGAACAACGGTCTACAAACTAAGTAGCTCTTGGTCAGTCAGTAAAGAGCTGTGTATAGGGAAGTGTCCAGGTGACCCTAGAATCCAGCAGCTCCTCACCCAGTTCTAGAGTCAGTCTGAGAGGAACAGAGGCTCCCTGCTCATGAGTGTCTCCTCATTGCCTTCCTCAGGCACCAGGATCCCATATAAACCATTTCCATTTTGTAATAGAACTCTTTTGGGACTGCCCTCCCCGTTACAGCTTTTCCAAGATCACTGAAGATATCACGAGTTTTTCAGGTTTCAAGATTATTTTATGTCTTTCAGTCACAGGGGGAGCTTCAGTTAGTGTTCCATCGCAAGCTAGTAAGTCCCTCTTAAATGGAAACTTTATAGTCTAAAGGCCCAGTTCCCAGGAGGTGCTCACAGCCTTTTGCCATTAGCCCTAGTCAGTGTCCCACATAGGGCACAGAGAATGCGTCGTTACCTGCAATCTGGTTTCTAGTCTACACTGTGTGGTCCAGCCTCCAGGGCCAAGGGGCCTGAGGTGCTCTAAAAAGCTTCCTGCAGGCTTTGGTGGCTCTGCATTAATGCTGTCAGTCTTCCTGAAGTCCCTGTCTTCTCACTCCCTGCCTGGATCTGCACCCAGCACACATTCCTGACCCCACAAACTCCTCAGTGCCACGGAGACCTGGCACACATTTCTGATCCTAACTCAGGGCCTGGGGCCTGGCAGGTGCTCAGGGTGCTCCATCGCTCAAATCCAAGCCTGTGGAGAGGATGACATTTCAATCCCAGGTTTCTCATGAGTCATAAAACCTTAGTTTCTATAGTGCTATCCTCTTCTACCCACCATGTGAGGGGTCAGGAGCTGACTGACCCCAGGGGTCTAGGAGTCGTGCCATTGACCTGACTGCCTAGGCTCACCAGCTGGCACCCTTCAATACCACACATTGGGTCTGTCCTCACAGCGGCAGTGTGCTTAACTTGATGGGGAGGTAAGTAGCCCAAGGTCAGACAGCTGGACCTGGGTAGAAACTAGACTTGGGGAAATGCTTTGGAAGCCATTTCCCTGACTCCCCTGTCCCCATGGGGCCTCAGTACTAGAGCCCTGAAGGCTGGTCAGGGAGTGTTTGTGCCTTGACCATGCAAAGGGTGCCAGGCTGTGGCTGGGGATGCCCCTGGCTTTCCTCTCCCTCCTACCTACTCCTCAGCCTCTGCACGTGCCCGTCATGGCCTCTGCATCCTTCATTCTGTCCACTCATGTGCTCACTGGGTCCCTCCCTGGTGCCAGGCACCCGCTACTGAGGGGTGCCAAGCCCCTGCCAGAGAAGCTTGGTGCTGAGTCACAGCTGCAAGGGGGCTGGAGGCAGTGGCATCAGAGCAGTGGTCAGTGAGGCCGCTGTAGAGGGAGGGAGTGGGAGCAGAAGCTAAGAGTGGACTGAAGTCCTTAAGCTAGGAAGTAGTTCAGGGTTTAACAAGAGGAGAGACAGGCGTCCCGGGGAGGGAGCAGGCTCAGGACAGGCCTCCAGTGCCGCCTTTGAACCTCACTACCCCGACTACAGCAGCGCAGTGGGAAGAGCCTCAGCTCCTGCCCCTTCTGCTTGCCACAGCCTGGACAGGACCCGGAATCAAACCACAGGCCTGGGTCACCACTGCCGGCAAGAAGTAGTTCCCCTCCGTCCATGCACCCACGCACACAACCTGGGCCCTCCCGGAGGTACTGGGGAAGGCCGTGCCCCTTTTCTGAGTGCCTGGAAGTGACTGCGGGAAGGGAGAACAAGTGACCACGCCTTTTCCTCCGGGGTATAAAAGTGGAGGCGCGCGCCAATTCTGGCAGTGTAGCTGCGGAAACTTTTCCAGGCGCATGGGCTACGGGGACCGTTTCCGGACGGTTTCTGATTGAGTTTGGCGCTTTTTACCCAAACTTCAGGGGGACGAAAAGCCTCCACCCACCTCCCTTCTCATAGGACTTTGCGGGCAGAGCGCCCCGACCGCCTCGAGCGCTCGAGCAGGGCGCTCTCTAGGAGCCACGACGGCGTCGGGAACCACACCATGGCTGCTGGCCGGAAGACCCTTACGTTTGTTTTCGTCATCGTCGTGATTCCGCTGCTGGTGAGTACCCGCCGCGGTCCCTGGCTGGGGAAGAGCGTACCTGGCGCCGGGAGTGGGCAGAGAGAGAGGGGGACACGGCGGGGACGCTAGGCCCGGGTCGCCTGGGGCAGGGCGTGCCGGGGCAGGACTATCCAGTCATCGGAGTCGGGAAGATTGGGTGGTCCCCTGGCTGGGCAGGAGCGACCGGGCCGCGAGGGAGCAGAGCGCGCGCTCCCCCTAGCTGTCCCGTGAGGTGAGGACCACACTGAGCTGTCCCGGAGTAAGTTCCAGAATCAACGGAGGGAGGGAGTCAAGATGGAAACTCCGGAATGAATCTCAGGAAGCCACAGCGCGGTTGCCTCTTTCGTTAGTTAGTTAGTTAGTTAGTTAGTTAGTTAGTTAGTTAGTTTGTTAATAACGTTAACCCAGGCCAGGCGCAGTGGCTCACGCCTGGAATCCCAGCACTTTGGGAGACCGAGGCGGGCAGATCACCTGAGGTCAGGAGTTGGAGACCCGCCTGGCTAACATGGTGAAACCCCCTGTTTACTAAAAATACAAATTAGCCGGACGTGGTGGCAGCAGCTTGTAATCCCAGTTACTCAGGAGGCTGAGGCAGGAGAATCGCTTGAACCCAGGAAGCGACAGGCAGGAGAATCGCTTGAACCCGGGAAGCGAAGGTTGCAGTGAGCCGAGATCGCGCCATCACACTCCAGCATGGGGGACAAAAGAGAGACTCCGTCACACACACACACACACACTCACTCACACAAATTAGCCGGGAGGACAAGAGCGAGACTCCATCTCACACACACACACACACACACACACACTCTCACACAAATTAGCCAGGAGGACAAAAGCGAGACTCCATCTCTCTCTCTCTCTCACACACACACACACACACACTCTCACACACAAATTAGCCAGGAGGACAAAAGCGAGACTCCATCTCTCTCTCTCTCTCACACACACACACACACACACACACACTCTCACACACAAATTAGCCAGGAGGACAAAAGCGAGACTCCATCTCTCTCTCTCACACACACACACACACACGCACACTCTCTCTCTCTCACACACAAATTAGCCGGGAGGACAAGAGCGAGACTCCATCTCTCACTCACACACACACACACACACACACTAGCCGGGCATGGCGGCGTGCGCCTGTGGTTCCAGCTACTCGGGAGGCTTAGGCAGGAGAATTGCTTGAACCCGGGAGGCAGAGGTTGCAGTGAGCCAAGACTGCACCAATACACTCCAGCCTGGGCGACAGGGCAAGACTATCCAAAAAAAAAAAAAAAGAAAAGGTAACTCTATGTTTACATTGTTAAAGGTGTTCCTTGGAGATCGGTTTAACAAACAGGGAGTGAAAAAGCTTTCCAATGCTTTTTTTGCAACGTTCACTTCCTCTGCCCTGAGAGTGGCAGGAAGCGGTTAACCAAGGTGCTTGCAGTCAGTGTCTTCCACTGTCACCCGTGTGTCCCCTCTGCATCCCACGGGCAGGACCACAGGCTGGCCCCTTCCTTCAGCATGAAAGGTGTAAAGTTCTCGTTGTGAGTTGGCTTTGGAAACTGAGATTGGTGGTGGGGTGCGCAATAAGGACATATTATAAATAAAATGTGCAGACTGCCAGGACTTTCTCAGAGTGATTGACGTTTCTCCCAAGAGAGCTAAGGCTCCTTCTATAATACCAAAAAAGAGGGAGGACAAAACAAGGTTATAGGAACCATGAGAGTTTGCATGTTTTCTTTCAACAAATTCATACTAAATTCAAAAAGCGGTAACATTTTCACCTCTCAAAAATAACACAGCTGACTTCTACAATAGTTTATAGTGAGTGGACCTACCTGAGGCAGCTAGAAGAATGGCTGTGTCAGGACAGTGGCCCTGAAGAGAGAATGTGTGGATGACCAGTGTAGACAAGGCCAGCAACATGAATTTCACAGTTTTGCGAATGTGAACTCTTTACATCCCAAAGGAGCCTTTGATCCCTCCATCAGTCTTGCCTTATTAAATGCATTTCAATGCACAATCGCTTTTTAAAATTTTGAAGCTAACACAGATCACATTAGATGTTTTATGGCAGTACATTCAGATTGATCTTCCTGTAAACAAGGGTATTGTATTTTACTGCATGGGTAAGCCACAGGTTAATTCACTGTTGCTGCCTAGGGGAAGTTGGTTAGATCCCATCCTGACTTTGCCTTTGCTAATTCCAACAGCATTATACTAAATACCCTTGTATGTATCATGTGTCCACATATCCATGTGCACCAGCTTATTGGACAATTCCTTACAAGTTGAATTCTACTTCTCCTTCTGCGGGATAAATCACTTCAGAAGTTTCTTTAAATGTTCACGAATTTTCCTCCAAAAAACCACTGAACCCAGCTTACGGTCACACCTAGTCCACAAATGTGCCTGTGCCCCTACACCCTTGCCACACTTAACTTTCATTCGTTGCTAGTCTAGGAGGTAAAATGTGATTCATCACATTGTTATACATTTTCACTCCTTCATGGTATTAGGAATTTTCAAGGATACAGGAGTTTTTGGTACTGGGAGTAGATGATCGGGGGATCCAGATGAGACAGCAGGAGAAGGCAGCAGGAAAGACCAAATTCCCAGCTGTGCACTTGGAAAACCATGGTCAGCTGGGGCCAGTCCCTGCCAGCTGCCATGCCTCTGACTGGAGATAAGGTCTCCATCCTCAGGCTGTCAGGAGGACATCAGATGAGCCTGGAGCTGAGCTCAGTTCCTGACTTGAGGTCCTGGCTCTGTTAATGTTGGGCTGGTCCAATCTCTGTGTCAGGTCCTTCCACACCATCCCTCTCTTCATCAAAGGAGGAAGTGACAAGTTCCAACAGCTCAGAATCTCAGACTCTGAGGCTCTCAAGGACTCCTGAGATTGGAGACTGGGATCACCTGGGCCCTGCTGTGCTTCCCCTCCAGCTCTGTGACACTGGTGAGGCCCCAGCTCCTGCCAGTGAAGTGAAGAGGAGATAAAGATCTTCAGCAGCCCTGTGTAAACCTCAGAGGGCTGTGTTAGCAGGTGTGGGAGGACAAATCACATCCTCAGGGCTGGTGTCAGTCACTCAGGACTCTGGATCCCCAGGGCATATGTCCTCCACCCAGCAGAGGCTGCACCTGCTCCTACCTGCACCTCAGTATCGGCTCCCTGAGCTTAGGACGGAAGCTTTTGAAGACTGGAGAGGAGCGCCATGCGGAGGGGCCATCGAGGAACAGAGGAGCTAGACCTCAAGTGAGGACAGTGATGGCACTGCAGGACCACAGCCTGGTTTACCTGCCACGCTTCCAGTTGTCCTTCTGGTGGGCGCCCGGCCTGAGTTGGAGTTCGAAGAGTGAGCAGGAAAGGTCTCCATCCGGGTGGCTGCAGAGGGCTGTTCATTCAGCCCCTACTGAGAGGCCACGTTCCCGGTTCCGGTCCTCTGTCCTGTATCCGGGAGTGGCGGGGCAGCGAGGCTCTAACTTCCAGGTTGGGGATGGGGACAGTGGGGGCAGTGCCATGCCCTCAGCCTGTGCTGTTGGGCAGCTGGTGTCCTGCTCCCAGCCAGCAACTGCACATCTTCAGGTAGTGGATTTTCCTAACAACCCGGGGAGATGAGGGTGGATCGTTTTCCCTGTCTTACAAGTGGCAAAATGAGATTCAGGAGCAATGTCTCCAGCAGTTTTGGCCTCACCTTGTGTATAATGGCAGCCATATTTGGGCCTCTGCAGGGCTAGAGTTCTCTGAGCAGCTGCTTCTCTGATCTCTGTCCTGCACTTGGCCTCTGGGAGCTCCTATAGGTCCTCAGCAGAGTCCACACGGCTCTTTGGGGTCCCCTCTCTGTGCCATAGCCTGGAGCCTGTCCTTAGGCGGTGAGCCAAGGCCGCCACTGCGTTCACCTCATGGGCTTGGGGGGAAAGTGATTCACCCAGGAAATAGACAGTGAACGCTTTATTGTCTTTGGAGTCTGCTGGAGCCAGGGAGGACAGACGAACCCCATGTGAATCCTGCTCCCTGGAGCCCACGGTGTGGTGGGTGAAGTGACACCAGGAATCATATAACTAATAGGAGGTAGCATGAGGGAGGCATGAGATCTCACCACCTTTGCCTCCCCCTCCTCCAGAGAGGCTGTACAGGAAGGAGGCCGTGCTGGTGCAAGGCCATAGGATATGATATTTTTGGCCTGGAGGATGATGTCTGGTTACTGTCACCATTGAGAATCATGGAGGGAAGCTAAGCTCCCCTTGACAGGATTTTTATTTTGGCTGAGTCTGAGAATTCAGTTGACATAAGACAGGCACACAGGAGGAAAGCACATACTACTTTCTTTTTGAGATGCAGTCTTGCTCTGTCGCCCATGCTGGAGTGCAGTGGTGCAATCTCAGATCACTGCAACCTCTGCCTCCCAGATTCAAGCCATTCTCCTGCTTCAGCCTCCTGAATAGCTGGGATTACAGGTGCCCTCCCTCACGCCCAGGTAACCTTTGTATTTTTAGTAGAGATGCGGTTTTACTGTGTTGGCCAGGCTGGTCTCGAACTCGAGCTCAGGTGATGCGCCCGCCTTGGCCTCTCAAAATGTTGTGATTACAGGCATGAGCCACCACGCCCGGTCAACACACACATTTATTTAATGCAAGTTTTACCTGGCACAGAAGAAGCAATGAGAGTCAGTTATATACTGAATTAGACCAAGTAACTTGTGAAGAAGCAAGTAAATGTGTGGAGGCTAAAAAGATGAGTGGTTCTATTCTAACAAGGTCTGCAGAGTATTCTCTTGGGCTCCCACTTCTCATCCTTAAGAATAAGGAGATTGTCCTATGTTTCCCTGGGGACTTTCATCTCCTGCTTTTAGGAAACACAAAAGAGGTCAAAATGATCTTCTTGCAGCTGCTGTTTTTCAATAGCCTTTAATTAATAATAGTCAATGGGCCAGGGTGGTGGGCAGGTGCTATGGCTCACATCTGTAGTCCTGCCAAGGTGGTTGGATCACTTGAGCCCAGGAGTTCAAGACCAGCCCAGGAAACATAGCAAAATGCTGTCTCAAAAAAAACAAAAACCAAAATAAAAAAAAACAAAAAACCACACACACACAGAAAATCATGTCGTGTGAAGGAACCCAAGCAGAATGCATACCATTTGATTCCTCATCATATTAAAATGCAACCAATGTATTGTGACAAAAAGCAGAAGCATTGCTGGGGACATAGGAGCAAAGCGGAAGAGAGGATTACATTGAAATATGAAGAAACACTGCAGGACTGTAGACACGTCGTCTTATTGTGGCGGTAGTTCCACAGTGTATACATACATCTCAATCTACCAAACTACATGCTTCAAAAATGTACACTTTGTTTCATATCCATTATACCTCAATAAATCTATTTTTGTATTTTAAAAACCTTCAATAGACTATGACGCTGAGGGTATACGGTATCCCTAATAGCCACGTTGCAACATAGATCCATGGAACCACTATGTGCATTAAAAATCAGTACCCGATTAAAAAATGGAATTCTAAAAGTAATCTAAGCATTAACAAATGTGGCAGGGGAAAAAGAGTAAAAACAATTAAGACTAGACAATCATCACGTTTGAAATGTAACTTAATACGGTCTATTTCGATTATCCAACTTATTGCACTAAACTGTACATCCACTGTACTACAGTTCAAAAGGTAGAAGGGTTTGAGAGGGGCTGACAAACAATAAGACTAGCTATAACTTGTCTATACGCAGATGGGACCTAAAAGGAACACACAGATGCTGTTCTGCTTGAAAGCAACATAGGCATGAAAAA